GTGTGTGTGTGTGTGTGTGTGTGTGTGTGTGTGTGTGTGTGTGTGTGAGAGAGAGAGAGAAATCCTCACCCCAGTCCTGCCAGATCTGATACCAGGTTTCCAAGTGCAGCAGCTGCAGAACATGACAGAAGAGAGGAACGATTATACCGAGCAGACAGGAAGTCAGAGCTTCTCCTGCCTGCAGAGATATTTATACATTATTTGAGATTCATTATTATTTTTACAAATGAGCCAGATTTGAATCTTAACCGAATAAACTCTTGTCTCTTTATCGGACACATGCACTCAGTGTTGCATGAATCAATCAAACATAATGCCCAAAAGTGTTTTTAAAACTGTAAAAAGCGTCAAAATAATCCTGATTATTGACTTAACGTTAATTAGTTCACTGAATAGATGGAACAAGTGATTTTAGAAGCATTCTTCCAATGAAGAACAGAACTACAGTGAACATTTTTTGTTTGTTTTGTTTTATAAAGTTTTAGGCAATAATTAATATGCATTTGATCACAGTGAAAAAAAATATACAAATAATATCAGGACAAAAAATGAACATCACTAAAACAACTTTTGGCCACAACTGCACCAAAAACAGCTACAGAGGCAAACCCTCCACAAACTGAAGAGGTCCTGAGTGTCTGATCTCTGTGTAACCATAGCAACAAGGATGCAAACTGCATGACCTACACCTCGAACATCTGACCACATCTGACCACGACCAGAACCAGGACCAGATTGATAAGATCTCAGCAGCGGGCCTGTGGCTGGAACAGAACCTCCTTCAACAAACTGCTGGTTCTGATCTGCTTGTTTCTCTCTACAGGAAACTGTCCAGAGAGTCAGAAGGAAGAGAAACAAAGTGTCTGGCCACACAGAGTTATAGCCTAATAACAGGATTGTGTTGGTAAAATATTTGGTGTCCCAATCCAGTTTACAAAGTGATCTGTTCTATTAAAGAGAAGACTCTTGATTCCAGGGTTAAAAGTGAGTTCTGGAGGCATATAGGTCTTTAAAACCAGTCCTTTTACAGTACTCTTTAACAAACAGCAGCTTACTTAGGGGTTTTAACATCGATATTTCTGTTTAAATACATTAGTTAGGTCCAATCAGCAACAGAACATTCATCTTCCGGACTCGGTCTTCATCCAACAGGAAGAGAAACTTTTTCCCTTCATCGAAGTTGATAAATGGTTCCTCTTCAGACTTGACACAAGTGCTCAATCACATCAGACTGGGTTAAATAGCAGAGACCGTTTCAGACTTTAAAATGTCCTCCACATGCCAGGAATGAGTGAAGATGATAGAAAGTGGATTGTGGCTGTGCTTTAATCTTGTGAACTCATGGCCAGTTGTACATTTATGAGCACTAATTTAAGACCTTCCTCTAAACTTACTCATCTTTACAGCAGTAAAATTTAGATATTTACAAAGGTTGATCCACATGCAGACCAGTAAATGATTTGATTTGAACAGGAGCTGGTATGACTAGTCTTGGAGTGATCCTGTTATCAATCAAACATCAGTGATCTGATGTAGGAATCGGTGGGCATGCGAGAGCACCCATGAAGGCCCCCGGTCACTGAAGACAGACCACACCAAAGGAGGATTGTCATACTGTGGTCCTTCAAAAATTACAGAAGCCTCCGATTTCTGTGCCTGCAATCCAGACGCAGGTGTAAGACGTTTTAAAACACACTGGGACACTCCACATTGTGTTTAAGTCAGCTGGACTAAAAGATCATCATTCAAGGTGTTGACTTCCATTAACACCAGAGGCAGTCATTTCTGTATTACAGTAGATGGCCATCATGTGCACGTATGGCAACATCAGAGGGGGAGGACTGACACTGGCCAATGTTGTAGATACACACAAGTTTCTCCTGGTATAAACATGTGGATGCTGTAGAAAGACATTCTGTAATAAATAAAATAGATGCATGTAATAAATACACCAAGTGTTTGTTATAAATACACCAAGTGTCTAATAAATACATTAAGTGTCAGTAACAGATACACAAGGGGTCAGTAATTGATACACAATGAGTGTCTGTAATCACTAAGAGTAATAAATACACTTTTTCTGTTAGAAATACACTAAGTGATAGATACACTGTAATATTAACTTTTCTAAAATGCAAATGGTTCCATTTCAGCAAAGTGAATATTTCTGTCAGGTGGTGAACATTGTCATTTTTATTAAATGTTTCATAAATACCCTTTTCTTTTTTAAATTAACATTATTATAATTTAGACATTTTATCTTGCACATCTTCACAATAATTTATAGTGAGAATTAAAACAAAATCTAAAAGTTTTATGATAAATAAAATCCTCCAAAAAAAGGGTAAAAATTGCACTAAATATGATTGAGATTCTCCTACCTGCCATAGTTGAAATGCCGAGAATCACACCGATAGATAACTCGATATGAGTGCCCTGAGAACACACACGTATAACAAAGAAAAGCTCTTCATTCACCTGTGACTTTCAGATGTTACATGGTCAAACAGACATCTCCTGACAGAGACAAACACAAACGTTACAGCTTAAATACATTTGTAATGTTAAGGAAAGACAATCTCTTCTGGTAATTCCTTATTTTAATATGAGCATGTCTCTCCATCACCAACCGCGTATCCGTGGACAAGTCATGGAGGCAACAGGTCCAGGAGAAAAACCCAGGCATCCCTCTTCCCAGCAACACTTTGCAGTGACCCAGAGTTGTTCCCAGGCTAGAGAAGACACACAATCCTTCCAGTGACTTCTGAGTCTTCCGAGGCCTACTACTAGTGGGACATTCCCAAAAAACTTCTAAAGGGAGGCATTCAAATCAGATGTCCGAACCACCTCAACTGACAGTTTGAGCAGTGGTTCTGCTTAGAGCTCCCCCCAGATGCTCCTCACCCCATCTCTAAGGCTAAGCCTGGTCACTTTGCAAAGGAAGTCCATTTCGGCCATGTGTATCAGGGATCTTGTTCTTTTGGTCCTGATCTAAGCCTCATGGCCATAGGTGATGACTGGAACAACGACAGACCAGTAAGTCAAGAGCTTTGTCTTTTGACTCAGCACTTTCTTCACCATGACTGTCCTGAGGACGAGGCCCCAATCTGTTGATACATCTGCTCCATAGTACCATTACTAGATACAAGATGCCCAGATTCTTATACTCGTTCACCTTTTTCAGTCTTCCCCCGATTCAGTGGGGGCATTGACAAGAACCATGGCCTCAGACTTAAAGGAACTGACTCATTCCAGCTGCTACACACTCTGCTTTGAACTGCCCAGTGCACAGAAGATCTTGGCCTGAAGATGCCAGCAGAACCACATTATCTGCATAAAGCAGAGATGAGACCGTGAGGTTCCCAAACTACTGAGGCCCTACTCTGTGGCCCTGCCACAAGGGAGCTTTTTGACTACCTCTTTGATCTCCGTCATGGTAATGGACTTGTCTTCCCCCGAGTCCACAGACTGCCTGCCTCCTCAAAGGTGACATGATGGATTAAGGAGATCCTGTAAGTGCTTCTCCCACCGCTCAGCAGTATCCTTAGTCAGGGTCAGCATTTCCCAACCGAAACCAAGTACACCATGGGATAGGGTCCGCTTTCCTTTTCCGAGTTGCTGGTTGGTGTGCCAGAACATCTTCAAGGCCAGCCAAAAGACCTTCTCCAGCCTCCCCAAATATCAATAGCTATTTAATCAAAATGCTTTTATTACCCTTGCACAGTGAAGTACACCAAAATTACTTTCCGTACAGACGTCCTAAAGATGGACAGAAGTGTACAGGGGGCTGCAGCTTCTAAGATGTGTTGCCCCTGTTACTTAGAAAAAAAAAAAGGGAAGAAAGCTATAATAATATCTATCTATCTATATTACAGCATGTCCTTGACAGGGCACGGTTTGAGGCATAAAAAAATTTAAAAAAATCTACCACAGTATAGCAACATAAATAAACATAATGCACGTGCGGAGTGGTTAGGGGATGGGGGTCCCAGCACGGCCGCCAAGTGAGCGACGCAGCCCTTGGCACCTTCGCATCATCCATCACTATGCGTTTGGGTTTACCAGGTCTGTCCGGCAGCTGCCACGGATCCAATTCACCACCAGGTGCTGATCAGTTGACTGCTCTGTTCCTCTCTTCACCTGTGTCCAAGACATGGAACCAGTTCTGCATCCCTAGAACTAGGCTATGCTGCCAGGAATCTGCATAGCCAAGGACCCTCCCTCGCCTGCTGAACCATGACATTGACCTTTTCTCTCTAGCCCCGCTAGAGAAACAAAAGGTCACTAATCTGGGGGTGATAATGGACCCGTCCTTAAAACTCAACAGTCACGTAAACATGATGGTCAAATCCTGTTTTTTCAGCTGAGACGGCTGTCTAAGCTGAAGCCTATACTCTCCAAAAAGAACTTGAGACAGTGATCCACGCCTTCATAACATCTAGGCTTGATTACTGCAATTCACTTCTGTTTGGAATCAGTCAGTCCTCCATTGCTCGTCTACAACTGGTCCAAAATGCTGCAGCCCGATTTTTAACTGGTACAGGCTATAGAGAGCACATCACGACAGTTTTGGCCTCCCTGCACTGGCTACCCATTCACCTTCGGATCCAATTCAAAATTCTCCTGTATGTTTTAAAATCACTGAACAGTTCCGCCCCATCCTATCTCACTGATCTTCTGCAGCCATATGTCCCACCGCGCTCTCTGAGGTCAGCAGACCAGATGCTTCTTTCAGTCCCAGAAACCCGTCGTAAGCTCAGAGGTGACAGGGCTTTCCCTGTTGCAGGTCCACTACTGTGGAATGAGTTGCCACTGAGTGTCCGGCAGGCTCCCACACTCTCAGTCTTTAAGTCTCGCTTGAAGACCCACTTCTATTCTCTTGCCTTTAACACGGTGTGATTTGTTTGGTCCTGTCTGTACTCTACACTGTTGGCCATTTTAGTTAGCTTCTGCTGCTATTTGTATCTGTATTTTTATTTTATGTTTTCCTGTCCGCTGTGCATGTTTGTTTTCTTTTGTACAGCACTTTGGTTGGCCTTGTTGCTGTTTTAAGTGCTTTATAAATAAATTGGTATGGTATGACATCCACAGCACCCGACCTTGACAGTCCTCCCCGAAGGTGGTGGGTCCACGTGGAGATGGCATCCTGTCCTGCCCAGCTCAGCTCAGCCCCAGGAGCCAAGGCTCATTGTTCCAAAAGACATGTAATAATAAACTGGGATCTGCAGGAAACCAGTTTTCTTCAGATTGAACCAATATATAAAACCAGCTCTGAAGGTCACAAGTATAGTCAGACTTCTGGATTTCTTCATTATTTATATTTATTTATTGTTTTGTTAGGATTTCTTTGAACATCTTCATGGGAAAAATAAGACTGAGCTCTCTGAGGACAGACAAAAGACTGAGGAATTGATTAAAGAGATAAAATAGGATAAGAGACAGAGCAGTAACTACAAGCTGGAGGAGATAAGATGATTTAAAGACAAAGTAAAAGCAAACAAACAACAAAACAAAACAGCCAAACAAACAAAAAACATATGTTAGGCTGCCTTCAGGCCCAGGCCTCACTTGCAAATGAGATCTGTGATATCAGTAGGATTTGCCTTGTTCATAAAAGGTTAATAATAATAATAATAATAATAATAATAATAATAATAATAATAATAATAATAATAATAATAATAATAATAAT